TCAGATTTTTTGATTGCTGAACAGCGCAGTGCATAATATTTGTAATATCGTATGTGTAGTATTATCGTGTACATAGTATTAGTATATTGTATGCATAGCATTATCATATGCTTAGTGTTGCGTAGCTTTTTGTGTGCGTAGTGTTATTGGCAGATCAATAAACTGTGTGATTGTAAAATGCTAAATAATAAAACTTTTAAAAAAAATTGTATGTAAGCCGTAAATAAGAATAATTGGAAGTTATAATAAATGATTAAAGTAAATAGGACACTTAAGGATAAAGGATGTCAAAACTGTTTATGCATCACTAAGTATAATTTAGCAAATAAAAAAAAAATATTGATTCTATATTTTAAATAAAGCCCCACTTCTCTAGATAAATTGTTGTTAGTCTTCTGCGCATAGAATCTTTAAAAAATATTGAGTTAATATTACTTGAATTACATCATAACCTCTGCTATTGTTCTGTGTTAAAACTACCTACCTCTATCAAATTACTCATCATTCTTCTTACAGTGGAGGGCGATTATCAGGATATTCATGAATATGACAGAGAATATTCAGATTACCATTCTGAAACAGATAATGAAGCTTTATATATGGACATCAAGATATACAATGAGGCTTTGGTTGAAGGCATAGAAATAGTTGATGAAGCTCAGCCAGAGGATACAAATGAAGAAATGTATGATAACGATAGTGAAGGTGAAGAACAGGAAAAAATATTAGTATTAAATACGAAGATGCAGTTTGACATGTGAAATAGCTGAAAAATATCTTGATAACTATGCCAAGCAACAAGGATTCTGCTTATATAAGAGAAGGCGTGTATTGAATTCAAAAGATAGTACTATTATAAGATGCAGAATATACGAATGCTCTCATGCTGGTATACATGAAGCTCAAAAAGTCATTTTAGAGGAGGATAGGAGGAATCAAGATTTGAATATGGTTGGGTGTTCTTAGTATATTAATCTTTCTTTTTCTAAATTAGCTAACGGAGTTCAGATTAACAGTTTAGTTGGCAAACATAATCATGAAATGAATCCTCTTATAGCTGAAACGGCACTGAAGTCTGAAAACTTATAGAAGAAATGTTAGAAAAAATTAAATTCTGGCCAATCTATGAAAAAATGGGTGTAGAAACTCAATATAATTTACTAGCCGCTTCATTTTCACATAAATAAAAAAGACCTGAGTAATGCTATACAATGATTTAAAAAGCAGATTAAACCAAATAAAAATGATGCATGTAATATGCTTACCAAGTTATATTTAGAAAAGAAAAATAATCCAAGGTGGATAGTAAAGCCCACTTTAAACTTGAAGAAAGAAGACTAAATTCGTTATTCTGGATGTCGTCTAGTTAAATTAGCGTTTATGAAAAATTTCAAGATATTGTAATTGTCGATACAACATCTAAAACCAACCAATTTGATATGATTTTAATGTTGGTTATAGTTGTTGACAATAACTTTCAGAATGTAATCATTGTTTCAGCACTTTTAAAAGATGAAACAGAGGCAACATTCACATAGGTTCTTCAAAAATTAAAAAATTCTTGTGATGCTACGCCAATAGTCTTATATTCTGATGCTGATCCAGCATTAATATCATTTGTAAGAAATACTTACCTGGAAATATAATATCTTTATTGCATTTTTCATATAGACCTAAATTTAAGAAAAAAACTTAAAAGAAAATTGCATAATCAATTTGAATCATTTTGCTCAAAATTTTTAGTAATGCGTAATTTTTGTGCTATAATAAGTTTGAAACTAAGTGGAATTCTCTGATTAACAAATACCTGAATAGTAAGAACTATCTTACTAAAGCCTTATATTCTTGCAAAAGTAGTTGAGCTTGTTATGCTATTAATTAAAATTTCACAGCCGAGATTCAAAGTACACAATAGACAGAAGTATGTAATAAAATAATTAAGGATAGACTGACCAGATCTTCACGTTTAGCTGACATTGTTGATAAAATCCAAAAAATACTTGATAATCGATCAAAGAAAACAATTTTAAGTGAATTCAAAACCGAAATTCTGACAAGAGAAATGCCAAATATAACTGATGAATATTTTCTTGGACTGGACAAAGTTTTACAAGAATACTTAATAACAAAAATTTTTCAAAAACAACATGATCAAATAGCGCAATCATTATGTTATGATGTATTTTTAATTAACAATTGGCAGTTACTTCTGGAGGTAAAATCGATTAAATTAGTTGAGAGAATATGGCATATCAAAAAAAAAGCATTACTAATAGATTAATACTTGCCTCTGATTTAGGTGATATATGATTCTTATCAAAAGGATATAGCAAGAAAAGATGACTATGATCAACCACAATCTCTTTTTCATCATTGCTAGAAAATATACCTTATGATTCAGTTCAGAAAGTGTGAAAAATAGTTTAATGATGGCTCACATTTGTGTACTTGCCTTACACTAATTAATAGGGGAATTGTATGCAGGCACTTTTTTCGAGTTATCTCTTACTCAACTAAAGCATAGTTTCATTTCTTTAATTCCTCAGAGATAGTATAACAGAAGCAAATATAATGTTACTTAAGAAAATATACCCACATACCATTTTACAAGAAACAAATCAGAACTCACTTTACCTGAACCCTTATTGTTTCAACATTTGACAAGATTTAGATAAATGCCTAACATAGAACAACTACAAGGATCTAAACAAAAGTATAGGCTTGGAATGGGTTATGCAAAAAAAGCTCTTGATCTTGCAATTTGAATTAACAAAGTAGAAGAACTTATTAGTTGCTTAAAGAATTTTATTAAAGAAGCCAAAGACAATTTATTTAGCACACAAAACAATGTCAAAGACATACTTGTTGGAGATCCATTGCACATTCCGCATAAAGGTCGACAGACAAATAGGTATAAATCCAGTAGTGAGCCTTTAAAGAAAGTAAGACGTAAAGCTCCAGCTAATGAAGATGGTGAAGAAATGCGGCAAAAAATCCAGAATACTACAGAAACATCAAGTAATAATCAAGTTAGTGTACTACAAGATTTAGAAAAAAAGATAAGAAGGTGTCAGAAATGTAAACAGGTTTGTCATTATGCTCCACAATGTCCAAACATTGATTAGTAGTAAGTGTTTATTAGCATTAGTAATGCAAGTAAGAATCTAGAAATATATTACACAAATTGTTTTACATAGCGTTTGGATTAGCAATGTTAGTATATTACATAAATTGTTTTCTTTTGGCATTATGGTTAGCAATATTAGTATATTACATGAATTGTTTTTTTAGTAATTAGTTAAATAAGTTATATGTATTGATTTATCTATAAAATAACTAAATAAATAAATCATGTGTTATTATATGAGTGATGTCACCCCAGGTGAAAATTAGTTATAACCTAAATTTAATTTTATTTCTAATAAAAGTTGTAAAGATAAGTTTATTAATTTAAATTATAAAATAATCTCTCAAATTGAATTCATATATAGGAAGTAATTTAAGTTTAAAGTTTTTAGCAATAAAACTAAATAAAAACTCTATTTTAAAAACTATGTATAATTTTTTAAAATTTAATGTAATATAACTTTTAATAAATTAATTTAATTATCAAATATTATTTTTGTATAAATTTAATTAAGAACTTAACAAAATTTAATCAACAAAATTTTTTTAAACTTTAGTTAAACTTGTATATCTTACTATGTATAGTAATAATTCATAATAATTTTTAAAAAACACTTATAATAAAAATAATTATTTTTATAATATAATAAATAATAGGAGTTTGCTATTTATCGCCACTGGTGATCTTCACCAGTATATAATTAACCAATTAATTTGCAAGATCAGGTGTAATGTGTAAATCAATTTTGTATAACAAAATCAAAGAATTTTTAAAAAATTAATCGTATCTTAAAATTTTATCTATGAAACCACCTTTTGGGCCTTAATAAAAAAATTCCTTGCAAAATTTTACTATAACCTTTGCCTAACCCCAACATCATATCCCCACCCTTACCCTAATATTA